TTTGAAATCAAGGCCACGTTTCCATCCGAGGAGGAAACTCCCTGCGATGAATGTTCAGGCTGCTGCTGCTGCTGCGGACAGCTGAATGCAGCGCAGCTTTCGCTGGCGAGCTGCACATGGGAAGCATTGAGCGGACAGGAGAGTTGGGGGGGTCGCAGGGGGGGGGGGGGGGGAACACATCAAAATTAAACAGCTAGATGGTGAATCGGTCAGAGGCACAGCCAACTTCACTTTGAATCAAATATTTCCTTTCATGGTCATTGTGCGCTCCCAAATTCTGTAATTTTCAAGACAATGCGGTGCATTTTACGTGCTGTAATTTGCAATCGTGACCGGCACAATTTTTTTTTATTTTTTCTCCAAAGGGTGAGGAGAGGTGGAGAAGGAAATGCCACGTCAAATTTCAGAAATGCGCTTCAAAAAAGTTTTCTGTAAATAAAATTTCACCAGATTTGCACACACGCACACATGTTCCTTGCTTTGCAGTACAAACCATCAAACCTGTACGGCAACAGGCTCACAGGGAATCCTACGAAATGTCATCAGAAGCTGCCAAAGCTATTTTCCATCAGAAGCCCCCTTTAAAACTTAGCAAATACCCCCCCTCATTCCCATACTCCCCTCATCCCTACACCCCACCCCCAAGGCCCTCCCGGTCTCGGCAGTTGAAGAGAAATAACAAAAATAACGAAAATAAAAAAAAATGCAAATTATTTCCCAGACGGCTTGCGGAAAGCTTCTCAGTAGTTGGTGAAAGGAAAAGATTCAACTTTCTTAATGCCATCACCACATCAACATTATTTCACAAAGTACTGTAGTCACCAGAGTTGTCGTCATTGCAACGTCTTTATTCATATTATATATATTTTGTTATTTACCCCAAAATGTTCTCCCGATTGTGATATTGGCAACATGTAATGAGGTGAAGTATCCATTCCCTCACAGAACAGTGCAACCCTTCGCGTTAGAAAGCGGGCCACAGATGCGGGTATCGCAGAGCTAGATCTGGGATGTCCTTCACGTGACACTCTGGTCCACACACAGTAGAGGGGCAGACCTTTCCCACTCACTCCGCATACGACTTATAATGTTCAGACTAAAAATAGTCATACTGGAGGAATCCGTAGAGCTATAAAGCACTTTTTTAAAGATGTCTAGTCGGGGCGGATCTAACAATACTTTATTTCACAGAGATGGATGAACCTGCTTCGACAATGGGCAGCTGCCTGGATCCAAACTCAGAATCTCAGCGTACGTGTAGTTTGTAAATAATTCATTCTTACAAGCTTGACTAAATTAATGCATCAGAAACATAGTCAACTAAATCATCATCCTCGAAGACGAAGTTTGGCCTCAACAAGGTATGCTGATGTGCATCCATCTGTCAATCCATTGTTTGATGGAGACCTCAAGCCATTATTTTAACATATTTCTTTCATGCTGCTTAGTACATGTCTGTTAAGATGGGGAGCAAAGATGTAAGAGCTTAGAAGCAGAATTTTTTTCCTTTTCTACTGCCAACCACATTGTCCCGGCATCTTTGTCGAGTAGACGCAAGTATATTGTCTCGTTAAAACTCGCGCACACGGACGCTGGTATAAGATTAAGCAGAAGACCAACAATGTCCACGTTGCGAGCGTGTGACAATACAGCCTGCCTGGTGGAGGAGGTGGTGTAATTTCACGCTATCTGTTTTTTTTTTTCATTCATAGACGAACATTGCCATTTCTTTCCATGGGAAATGTCCACGCAGACATCCACGAGCCTCACTGCCTGGCAATGATGTCCGCTGTGCCAAAAACCGTGATGTCGTTCTCAAAGGGGAGACCATATGTGCCATCGTCACGGTCCAAATTCGATAAATTACTCGCAAATGACTTAATTGGCAAAGATCGCACAGCAAAATAGCACCCTAAACTTAACCTTTTTTTTTACTAGGTAAGGCCCACTGAGCTATATAGCTCTTTTTCAGAAGCGACCTGGCCACAAATGACAGCTGAAGTGACTTACCATGTGGAAACGTATAGCAACAGTCAAATATGCTAAACGTATGTTGATTCTAAATGTGTAGGGCAAACCAGAGGACTTGGAGAAAACCCACACGACCACAGGGAGAGAACATGCAAACTCCAAATATACAGGCATCATAGTCGTGTTCGAACTTATTACCTCCTGCATACCTGGCGAGGTAGTTAACATCTCACCACCGTGGCACCTTGCAGGCGACCCTCATCTGTGAGACATAGCGGCTTCACAATAACCTTGCTCTATAATTATTGTGCACATGTACTACGTTATTATCCGTACTAAACCCGAGCTGATAGAGCCTTGATCAGGCAACAGCAGAAGAGGAAGGAACTTACAGATGTCTGTGGTTCGGAGAAGCTTGTATCTTGAAACACAGTAACACACGAGCGGTGAAAGATACAATATTGATGTCCACTCCTCCCAAAAGGCGTTCTTTTTAATTACTTTAAAATAACACCAATATTTAAGTTTTTCTAAAGTGTATACTGCCTAAAAATGCACTATAGCCGCATGTTTTTAAATTATCGTAGAATGTATTGTTTGTAGAGAGTAGTCATACTTATATATTTAGCAATCTTAATTGTTAGGTGCCACGACATCACAACACGATTGTTGAGAATTGAGATGCCTATTAGCCTAAAAAAATAAGAATACAAAAACAAATCTGTATTAATTGATTTCATCTACAGCAGGACAACAGTAAAGCTGAACGTGTGTGTGTGTTTCTTAAACTCTTTGGGACGCCTTTGTTTAAAGACGATTTACACAAATAGCTAGCACAGTCCACCTGCACGAAAAGCTCGACTTTTTCTCATACATGTAGTTAATTGGGCAGAAGAAGTATCAAATCAAGCGTTTTTCAACATATATACGTGTAAAGTGTTGAAGATATTTTTCATAATAAGGGTTTGTTTGGGTTAGATCGCATAAAAGATAAATGTGTTGCTAACCTGCCACCACGTGACACGGCCAATTAGTGAGGTTTGTCACGTCAAACAAAACGTGCCAATTAGTTGCTACTTCAGCACACCGGTGGTGTTGGAGAGTAAACCCACAACATTTACTATTCGAATACCGTGACGTTTCGCTGCTAATTACATCCAGCATCATCGTACAAAATGAAAATCTTTATAACGACTAATTGGTCGCAAAAGCCTACGTGTCGACGATATAATTGTAGGAAAAAAAATAAGTTTTTGGTCTTTTTCGCAAATGTATTCCACTTGTGCTCTTGATGCACACCTTTGGACAGAGAGTTTATGTGGACATCTCACAGAGCAGGGCACCCCCCTCCCTCCCCCATGTTAGAGATCGGCCCCATGGGAGGTGGTACCACAGAACCACTTCTGAGATGACTTCACTTGACCCCTTATGCACACTCGGGGCACTGGACTTTCACAACATTCCCCGCTACAGATATTTGTTGCATGGCAACTTTACACTTTGTGAATTAACTCTTAACAGCTGGGTTTATATATTTATTTTACAATTCAAAAAGGAACCAATATAATGTGGTGTACTTTCTCAAAAACACTGCTTCAAGGTTCACTCATGAAAGGTATACTGATACTGGGAGCCTCGGTGGCGAGATGTTAACGCCCTCACTTGGTATGCAGGAGGTCGTGGGTTCCATCACGACCCTGACACCTGCTGTATAATTGGAGTTTGAGTGTTCTCCTCATGATCGCGTGGATTTTCCCCGGGTCATCCGGTTTCTCTCTCTCCATATTTAGAGTCAACATGCGTTTAGAGTATTTGGCTGATGTAAATTTACACACGATAAACCACCTCTATAAAACAGGTTTTTTTTTAAATACCTCGTTGAGCTTCTGAAAAAAAAACGATATAGCTCAGTTTTTTTAACGTTTGCAGTCATTGGTGACCGGGTTGACACCATCAACTGGATCCTTCTGACAACCTCGTTTAATCATGGGCAGCTGCCTGGATTCAAACCCAGGATCTCAGCGGTGGCAGCCCAGTGCCCTGACCCCTGAGTCACCCGGCCACCTCATTCACACTAATTACAACAGCTTGGATAATGATCCTGAACACGTTGTCAAACCTGCATGACCTTGCGCTGCGTAACAGTCGTTAGCAGTGCTCAGTACCCACACTTATTAACAAAAGGACAATTTAATACACTGCACACAGTTAACACAAATCCTTAGCTTCGGTGTGAAAATAAATAACTCCCGGCTTAGATTAACATCATTGTGATTAAGAATGACAATTTTAATTGTTTGGCTTGATGATTAAAATGTTTTTCGCTTTTTGTGTGTGTTTAATTGCAACATTGATTGACTTTCCTAATGACTGTGGGGATCTCTGGAGCAGAATGGACGATTACGATGTGTTCGTCTCGGCGTGCCCTTTAAAAAATAAATAATGTGACAACACCGCTTCGACGTCGTGAGAAAGGACGGCGAGATCACGAGCGCCTGTCCCCTGTTTGGCGACCAACGAGTTTCAGTTGAGGGCTCTGCCATTATTAGCAACAGTGCCTTTGTTGTATTAATTCACCGCTCGTTCCCACAGTTACAGATCGGCGAGCTCCAACCGATCGGTGCCCAAGCCCAATTCCCATTTTGAACCGCGGACGGAGAAAGCGCTGCGTCATACATCACTTGCGCGCCGACACCGTTAATCACGGAATTTGATGTGTTGCTGCTAAGTAAAATTATCACCTGCTGCTACCCGACCTGTGTGAAGTCCTGAAATTAATTCGAGCTGCTGTGAAACTTCATAATAAAACTGTGCTAATCACTGCAAAGTCATCCCGACAACAGCTGCACGTTTTGCTGGGGAACTACAGCGGTCAATACCCTACCGTGGCGCGGGTGGTGGAGTGGTTTGCATGCTGCGCTATGCATATGGAGACCCCGAGTTCTAATCCCAGCCACGACGGCTGACATCAGTGGCAAGGGATGTTAGAACTGCTCCTGCCTTACTCCTCGTCGCCAACCCACACTCACCGGCGTGGTGAGGTACGGTCAAAGCATCCTCCATGAACGTCACGGTGTGGGGAGTCCTTCATACATTTGTGAACGGACTTGTACATGTGAAACCACAACCATGATAGGTGGACCATGTCATCTAGCAAGGAAATAAAAAACGTTATTCGCTGCATGGAAAAACTCTCGGATTGAACAACACTTCTTACATATAGTATACTGAAACAATATTACAATCTATATAGCCTCGAAATGTCATATCTCAGCACACTATATAGTTGCAGGGTAAGTTCATTGAGAGGCACGCGTCAACAATGATGATATGGTTATAGTGCAGTAAGAATGACGGACAAAACAAAGCACGCAGCATGGATCTCCTTTGTAAAATAGCCGGACAACCGGCTAAACTTGAATATAATCCATGTAACGAATCAAAATAAACTCAAGACCAAAAAAGATCAACATCTTGAGCAAGGATTTGCGCCAAGGGATGCAGTAACAAAGCAGACATGGCGACCTGATGCACAAGTGGCGCATCAAAGATTCGGCAGTCTGCGAGTGTGGCCACGAATGGCAAACCATCGACCGCATCGTAAACACCCCGTTGCTGTCTTCACTCATTTAAAGGAGGAATGCACGATGTCCACTTTGCGTGTGAACAAAACATTGAGTGGATAACAAATACAAAATTACATCTTTAATCTGCTGTTATTAATCCATACCAAAGAAGAAGGTCAAGGAGGAGGAAGTTGCTGATGTCAGGAACATCGGTGGAGAATGAACAACTCACCCAATGATTTGAGGTTGACGAGTGATGTAGTCGGAAAGTCTTCGGTTGATCGAGCAGAGGGTCGGGGGAAAGAGAATCAACTAAAACAAGAGGTTAGCAAGATAGACTGCAGCAGATCCATGGAGAACTTTGAAACAAAAGTGTCTTTCTTTAAACCCCTTCCCACCCCAATGGTTCAATATGGTCAATCGTGGTTGATTGTTTTGGGCAGGGTGGCAAGTTGACATGAAAGGGTGAATTAGAATGGAGAGTCGAATGTCGTGGGCGATTATGGAGTGGTAGTGGTGGGGGGGGGGGGGGTGGGGGGCAAACAGGGGTTGGTGTGGCACATTTTAGACAACCCTTTAATTCAGACGACTGAGAAGCTTAACGACCAAGTTTCTTCTTTTCAATAAATTACTCTTAAACATCTCTACAGGGCTTGGCGACTGGTACATTAAGCGATAACCAAATCAGAATATATTCCTAGCAGTGTTGTTTATCTCCCGCTGTGGGCGAGACTCCTGGCGTGCCTGCTGGGCCCAGGTCCCCCCAGGAACAGGGGCGGGATGGGGGGAGTGGGTGAAGGGGGGAGGGGGTGGGTGAAGGGGGAGTGGGTGAAGGGGGAGGGGGTGGATGAAGGGGGGGGAGTGGGTGAAGGGGGAGGGGGTGAAGGGGGAGGGGGTGGGTGAAGGGGGAGGGGGTGGGTGAAGGGGGAGGGGGGTGAAGGGGGAGGGGATGAAGGGGGAGGGGGTGAAGGGGGAGGGGGTGGGTGAAGGGGGTGGGTGGGTGAAGGGGGAGGGGGGGGGAGTGGGTGAAGGGGGAGGGGGTGAAGGGGGAGGGGGTGGGTGAAGGGGGAGGAGTGGGTGAATGGGGATGGGGGCAACCTGCTCTAGGTCCCACACACAAGAGGGGCCCCCCACAACATTGGACCTGTTTTGTGTTGCTCATAAATAAAAGGGGGTGGGAGTGGGGGGGGGGCACTTGGTACTCTGCCCGAGGCCTTCAAGAACCTCTGCACCACCCCAACTTTTTAAATTTTACACCCCTTGACGGCCAGCAAAGCAGAACGACCGAACAAAGCTCATTTTCTCCTGGATTGATTTGTAGCCATCACTCAGCGATGCAGTCTTTTCACTATTCCAGCGCAAGCAAAGTCATCGGCGGGGCTGTGTTGGGGGGGGGGGGGGTCTTGTTTCGCCTTCGGAGACAGCAGCTACCCATTTTAGAGGCTTTAAATTATTAATCAAACGGTAAACACTGGCAGATTGAACGAGACTGCACTAAGTGGGCTCAACAGTGCATGTGTGTGGAGGTGCGGGGAGTTTAGGCAGATATAGTTTTTTTTTCAAAAGAAAACATTGTTTTGGATTTATGTGTCTGTGTAGTGTATTGCACAGCAATATATATATCCGTGGTCAGTGCATGTTTTTAGTAACCGAAGTATTCCATATGCAAATATAATATACATAAAAAAACACGCACACACATGTGCTTTGCGTGCTATTTTTAATTAAAACCCATCGGACTATTTAATTTGGTATGCTGTTAAATTTAACTACATATTAAACCACTGCGAGACCACCGATGCAACTCTCAGATCACATGCAATCGTGCGTACGATCCACGCACGTGGACATGGCGGAATGGGGATGTTGCTTATCTGTAAACGTTCAAAAGCCAAGACCAAAATAATCTGCATCTCATTAATGGAGCAAATCCTTTCAACTGAGTCCGTGACTATTAACATCGGTCATTCAATTGGGAAATGCGGGATGAGGATTTTTTCTTTCATAAAATACTCAGCTCACGTATTGGAAGATTGTCATGAGCATCATATAGAACAGCCGTGATTAATCCACTGCTGGATATAGGCCTCCACATGTCTTGACCATCGCTCACAGTCAAGCTATGCGTTTCCATGCAGACCGACAAGGTAGAATGAAAAAAACACAACTCTTATAATACGCAACACATCCCGTTAATCGGTAAACCGTAACATAAAGGAGTGAAGGTGTTTTAATTTCCCGCGAGCGGATGCGGCTATAGGCTACGGCATGCATTGGAAATTAGCCCAGCCTCAACAGCTCTGAAGCCCAGTGTGTTCGAATGTTGTTGACTAATGCAAAGGTAAAGGTGCAGCGCACCACTAACATATCGCCACCGTGGAGCTCGGCTGTGGCGAGATGTTAACAACCTCGCCTGGTATGCGGGTCTTCGGTTCGATCCTGACCCTGATGCCTGTATATTTGGAGTTTGCATGTTCTCCCCGTGGATCGTGTGGATTTTTCTCAGGGTGCGTCCGTTTTTTTTTTTCCTTCCACATTTAGAATCAAAGCGCATTTAGAGTATTTGGCTGCTATCATTGAGCTATCATTCACGGCCATGTCGATTCTTAAATAGAGCGAAAGAGCTCAGTGGGCCAGACTTAGTAAAAAAAAAAGTGCAGTGTAGTTAATTGCTTGCACATGCCACTGCTTCCACGCGAGGGAGTACTCATGAAACCACTCGGAAGGAGATTTGGCTGACACTGCCAAGCTGGCCAGCTCAGAATCAGAATCCTTATTTAGACTGGAGGAATCTGACGAGTTATTAATTATTGGTGAGGACGGTAGACCGAATGGGTCGTGCATTCACACAAACTGCACCGTACGTTAAAGTAGATTTTTACTCCATGCAAAAGTAAACGTGAAGGTGATAAGTGGACGCTAAACAAAGAAAGGCTCAACACAATCGATCCTGTATATATGCCAATGGACCACGATACCTGACTGATCTCATCAAGGAGCATGCACCACGCTGCCAACTTCGGTCATCCTCGCTACGGCTTTCGGTCGCGCATGGAAACGAAGACGGTGGTCACCGCATCGCGTGCTTTCAGATGCGCTTCTGCGGCCGTCCGGAATGCTCTTCCTTCCGGTTATTAGGAAGCCACTGGGAGCGACGCATTTTTTTATTTAGATTGAAATCGTATTTCTTTAGAACTGCTTTTTTTCGTCTTTAGTTTGTTGTCCTTCCCCCGCACCTCCGATGAGCACGGTTGGCTCTGAGTAAGGTGCGAAAGAAATTCAACATGCATATATATAATAAAGAAATCAGAGTCTACGATTTGAATGGCCTCCTTGCCACTGTGCAGCCACTGTGGGATCTGGCGGACGGGTGGAGAGCGTTGGCGAGGTGCGGAGCTATCAACAGCTCTGGCCGCGTTGACGTATTGGTCTCTTGATGAACGTGTGGCCAGGCTAATGTTATAGCCGGCATTGGGAACACATGAATGGTGAACTAACTTGATTGAAGATACTGACCAATAGGGCTAACAGTTGTCAGAATATGCATGTCCCATTTAAAACTAACGCTGCAAACACAGACAGCAAGTCTAACGAATACATACGAAATATTGTACTGTACGTTCGATCATACTATTTACATTGAATGTCTTATCGTGGCATTCATACAAATGCATCTCAAAACGCCGGCGTAGAATAATTACACGAGCAGATCAAAGAAGGGGCTCATCTATCAAGACGGAACTCGGCTCCTAATTGGGGAAATCAACACATTCACAAAAAGCAGTGAATAAATAAATAAAAATGTGACAAATGCTGACCAGGTCAAACACTCAGCTCCTCGAGCCAGCCAAGAGCACGATCCTTACTGGCCGACACCTCAGAATATATTTCAAAGAATGCTTAGTGACAGTTTTTGAATGCAATGTTGACGCTTATTTCAAAGTGCCATCCGTACAAACTTCCTCTGTAATTTCCGGCCATAACCGACCCCACAGTGTGGGCTGGTCACCTGTCGCAAACAGTTTCATAGCTCATCGGGTTCGTCCAGCTCAAACCCAATGTCTACGTGTAACGATCAGCTTAGCCTCAACTAATGAGCATCTGTTTGTTTGTCGTAAAATTAAAAGTGAGATATTTTTTTCGAGCCTGAATGCATTTTCTGAAAAATCCTGCAGATGTCAGTGCGTGATCATCAAATGCCGGAGGAGAGCAAATTGACAATCAAATGGGCACTGCCAGTGGCTGATTGAACAGAACACCGCTTTACCATGTCAAATGTGCACTTCTAAAGGGGGAGCACTAGAACATATTATGAGAATGAACTCCTAAACATAATTAAATTTGAGCATAGTATTTATGCGGATCACATCCGTTGCCGTAAAAAGATGCAAAAGTATTATTGGTGACTTCATAATAGATGTGAACACGCCTATGCGGATGACCTCATCAGCCAAAATGTCTGATCTTGTCAGATCTCAGAAGCTAACCAAGGTTTAACTTGGTTTTTATAGGGTGGACTACCATGTTAATCTCGGGCAGGTAAGTAGCAAGTGGCCATGGAGTTTGCAAAGATCTCTGGAAATACGTTTGTGAGAATTAAGTCATAGATATGAGCTGATGAATGAATAAACAAGGCAAGCGACAGGGGTGACCGATGCTGTCCTTACCGCAAAAGAAAACAAGTGGAAATGGGCAGGAACCTTCTTGAGAATAGCTGATGAGAGAGGAGTGACGCAATTTTCTGTATGTATGCAGAACTTATTTCGCACCGTGCGTAGCCAACCACCTGAATAAGATGAGCGGGGGAAGGACAGCAAACTAAACACAAAAAGTAGTTATAGATGTAAAAGTGCATAGCTTCAGGGGTTTCCTAACATCGGAAGGAAGAGCGTTCCAGATGGCTGCAGTAGAGCACCTGAAAGCGCACAATGCAGTGACATCATACGGAGTGGAGGCCGGAGAAAAGAGAAGGGATGCGGAGGGAGACAGCAGAAGTGACGGCATCAGAGAGACTACGTCATGCCGGGGTTGGGAGGCCACTGCTAGAAAGGAAAGAAGGGAAGGACGTAGAAGGAGGTCTTTGTCCAGCAATGCGATGTTATTTGCTGACGACAACAACAACAACTGGAAACAATAAAATAATAAAAATATAAAAAATAAAAAATTATTTAATTCTTTTATTGTTTCCCTTCTACGTGGTGACTTTACCGAAAGGGAAATAAGTATTTGAATCCCTGCAGTCACGAAAGCTTTATATCAAAATTTAACAACAACTGGAGTTGTGCATGTACATGTCTTGGGACACAATGATGGAAAGAAAACTACCTTAGATCGTTTTCATCAATTATATAATCATTGACAGTTGAGGACACCTTTTGGTGTGTAACACTGACGTGCATAAATGATGGCAGGACCCTTCCCAATTCAAGTCTACACCTCATCTCTTATGTATATGTCTGTGTATATATATAATATATCTACATATATACAAATACTTTTTAACTCGTGTGGGAAAAAGCATTCGTTGTTTTCTACGCCTCTGCCACCTATTGTATGTGTCTATGAAGATCGATGTACATTTATATGGCAAATGCAATGTGGACAGGTATAACGTCGACTAAAAAGAACAATACCCTTCATCATCGATCCCAACAAATATAAACTCCCACGCTCGCGGTCCCCACTTGGAATTCAGCAATGAACCCAATTTCTGCCCCCCTCCCCCCCCCCCCGCATTCCTTAAACACAGGAACACTGAGTCCTGGGGCTTTGTC